TTTTTTTTTTTTTTTTTATTTTTCATAAAATATATTGAAATAATAAGATTTTGTGGGGGCCGCCATATTTTTTTTCACTTTTGTCGCCACTTGTACTGTATAACCCTCTCTCTCTCTCTCTCTTTTTTTTTTTTTTTTTTTTAAGTAATTAATACTCCTTTTTACTTCACACTAATTGTTTTATGATTTTAAGAAATATTAGTCCCATTTAGGTTTAAAAAATTATTTAACAAATTTAATGCGCGCACGAGGAGTGGATGATATCATAAGGGTTGTTTGGAGAAAAGCTTGGAGATTTATAATTGGTTGCTTTTCTAGATGACATTTCTATTAATAGCTAGGTTTTATGGGAAAATATGTAATTTGGGTTTCATGTGTTCTTTTTGTCGAGTCAACTACCCCTTTCCATTCTCAATAATTATTGCAACTATGCCCTTTATGAAATCCACTTTTGTTTTTGGGTTTAAACTTCTGCTCATCCTTCCATGTTTTCCATAATTTACACGTTCTCAATCTATTTTAGTCAAATACTACGTCTTCTAAATGAGAGTGATGTTAAAGATGCGATGGTTAAAAAATACTGAAAAAAGAATTTATAATTATATGTATGTGAATAAGGTGAATTTGGTGAATTAACATAGCCAACTAGGCATGTGGAGAATCAATTTTAGGTAAGTTATTAACAAAATTTACAAAATAATTGGAACAAAATGCAGACCCGATGAAGTTTAAGTAACAATAATATTTAATATTGGGTGGAAAAATGAAAGTGGGAAGCCGGAAAAGGACAAAAAAGAGAGCACCGTCAAGGGGTGCGCCGAAGCCATGTCGTTTAGCGAGAATCCAGTGATTGAAGTCCACGTGGAAGATTGAAACGCCGCATCCTGGTTTCAGAAACGGTCGGATATTTGTCCCCCTCTCCGCCCTTTCTACTTCCCACCTCTCTCTCTCTCTCTCTCTCTCTCTCTCTCTCTCTCTCTCTAACATAGGATTCTATACCGGTCTAGGAACCGAACCAAACCAAACGTGGGTCGGGTTGGAGATCTACATGGCATGGTATTTTCTTATACAAAAGAAAAAAAAAAGAAATAATTGAGAGAAAAATACATTAAAAGAAAAGGAAGAACAAAAAACAAAGTAGGATATGCAATGGGGACGGGGAGAGGGTTCTCATCACCTAGTCGTCGACAAATCTAAATCAAAATCTAAATCTAAATCAAAGAGGATATGGGAAATATATGGTTTTTTTATTATTATTTTTTTTGTTGGAATTAAAGTGAATGAAAAAAGCATGATGATATTATTTTTAGTTATGGGACAAAATTATATTCCTTCCTTATGGGACCCCGATGCTCTTTGTCGCCTCCCATTTCTTCTTCTTTTTATTTATTTTCCAAATTGTTTCTCAAAATTCTTACCTCAAAACAGAATCTTAACAAAAACCACTTTAATTATAGGAGACATGTCCTCCCAAACCGCCACCCACCCACCCACCCACCTTCCCTTATAATATATTTCCCCTATCCCTATAACAAACAAATGGTACCACCACCTAACCACGGCACCGAGGCTTTTAGGGCTTGGCCCAATCTAATATTTATTCACTGGCTTCCTTCTCAGACCTTGGCCCAATCTAGTATCTATTAGGTTCCTTCTCAGACCTTGGCCCAATCTAGTATCTATTAGGTTCCTTCTCAGACCTTGGCCCAATCTAGTATCTATTAGGTTCCTTCTCAGACCTTGGCCCAATCTAGTATCTATTAGGTTCCTTCTCAGACCTTGGCCCAATCTAAACGAGAGGCTAGGCCCAGTCTACTATTTAGTGGGGCGACCCCAATCTAAACTAACCTAACTATTTAGTGGGGCGACCCCAATTTTCAAAGCCATTTGAAGAAACAAATAAGGTATAGGAAATGAAAAGATTATATATATAGTATGGTTAAAAGCAATACATACATACATACATATATATATGTGAGCCACCCTAAATGAAATAAAAAGAGAAACAAATCACTCAAAACAGACATAAACAAATTAAAAGTTTAAGAATGAAGAAAACTAACAAAAACAGAAACAGAGGAATTAATTCAGGGGAATTGAATTAGGAAGTGTTGTTATCCACATGCTTACTCAGTTCTTCCAACCTCTTCAGCCTCACCCTTTCACTTTCACCAACCATCTAAAAATAACACCGAATTAAGTAATCTAGATGAGTAATTAATTAAATAAAAGAATAAGAACTGAAGAAGAAAGCTACTACTAACCTCCATTAGTTTTGATATACACAGTACTTTCTCGTTGTTCTTTTCATTGAAAGCATCGAGGGCATCTTTGTACTCTTTCTCCTGCTCCCACCAAACAATTCCAACCATTTTTCTTTTTATTTTTTATTTTTTATTTTTTATAGAACTATAATTTGTAGAAACGAAAGTAGAGCCATGGAAATCACCTTCTTTTGGCATATTTGTCCAAGAGGCTTTAATTCCTTGTTTAGCGTATCAATTCTCTTACGGATTTGTCCAATTTCCTTCCTCGTTGGATCTCCATCTATGCCTTCAAGTTCCTGTTCATCATTCCACATTTAATCCAAAATTTCTAAATAAATTAAAATCAAACTCTCACACAATCAGAATTCCAACACAAATTGCAGTTGCAAAGATGAAATAGAAAAAAAAAAAGAAAGGAAAACGAAAGAGTTAGGGTTTAGGTTTTAGGTTTTAGGTTTTAGGTTTTAGGTTTTAGGTTCTAGGCCTTAGGGAGGGAGGAAAGAGATGAACAACCTCTCGAATGGAGGCCAAACGCCTTGATTCTTCCTCAACTCGGCCGAGTCGAGCTTGAAGTTTTTGCTGAAGTTCAGTCCTCATCCGCTCAATCTCCTCCTCCTTTTCCCTAAAAGCCGAAAGCGCCGATTTGGACATCTCTTCATCTTCTTTGCTACTGAAACTCAAATTTCCAGAATTCTGCAACATTACTTGAAGCTGCTGCGGATTCTGCTCGTTCTGCATCTCTTGATTTTTCCTTTTTCCCTCCAGAGGATGCGCTTCCGTTCTTGCTTGTATGAATGAATGAATGAACGAATTCCCTCTCCTCTCCTCCCCTTTCTTTTCTTACGCCGCTGCTTTTCTTTACTTTTATTTTTTTTTTCTTTTGCTTTTACAATGGATCTTCAAATTCTGACCCTTGGATTATCCACGGGAGAACAGACTTTTTAGTAAAAAAAAAAAAAAAAAACAAAATTATATTTGTATTTAATTAATTGATTTTTGAATTTTGGGGATCGGTCATATCATATCCAAATTACAGCTCAATTT